GTTATAAAGCGGGCAGCGCGGTTTTGAACTGCTTCTAGTTCGCTAACTAGGTATGCCTGGGGTGGATTCCAAATGGACGATGCGTATTCGAGCTTTGGCCGTACGTATGTTAAGTATGCTAGTTTTTTAACGTCAGGAGATGCTGATTTGAGGTTACGGCGCAGAAAACCAAGCGTACGCAGAGCGTCTGAGCAGATGGACTGTACGTGCGGTGCAAATGAAAGAGATGGGTACATGTGCACTCCGAGATACTTGTATGACGAAGCCGAATCGAGAGGAAGCGAATTGATAAAGTAGGTATGATGAACAGTGGTGCGTTTACGGGAAAATGACATTGATTTGCATTTAAATAAATTTAATGGCATTGATGAGTCTTGGCACCATAGGGCAACTGTGTCGAGGTCTTGCTGTAGTTTAGTACTGTTTTCAAAGTTGTGAATGGGGGAGTATATGACACAGTCATCTGCAAATAGTCGAAGTTTTGTTTGAATGTTTGTTGGCAGGTCGTTTATGAATATTAAAAATAGAAGAGGTGATGAGCCCGCACCCTGAGGGACGTCTGATGATACGTGAGTTTTAGAGGAGTTATGATTATTAGCGGAGGTGAATTGTTTACGGTTGGAGAGGAAGTGTTTAACCCAGGAGACAATATTCTGTGCAATGCCAAGGGAATTAATTTTGCTAAGTAATAAGTTGTGTGGTACGCGATCAAAAGCTTTGGAAAAATCTAGGAATATGGCATCAATCTGCAGGTTATCATCCATGCTTTTTAGTAGGTCGTGGGTAAACTCGGCTAATTGGGTCTCGCATGAGAAGTGCTTTCGGAAACCGTGCTGGTGATTATAGAAGAAATTTATTGATTCAAGGTGAGTCGCGATGTGAGAAGATATAATGTGTTCTAATAATTTAGAGGGAATGCTTGTCAGGGAAATAGGGCGGTAGTTTGCTGCATTCGTTCGCTCTCCTGTTTTGAAGACGGCTACTATTCCGCCTATCTTCCAATCGTCTGGAATTTCGCTTCTTTCAAGGGACTGCATGAAGATGAGGCAAAGAATCTGACTAACCACTGTGACGGTGTTAACTAAAAGTTTGGGGGTTATTTGGTCAGAACCTGGCGCTGAAGATATCTTAAGACCGGTGATTAGTTTAACGATTCCTTCAGGGTTAAATGCTATTTCGAGGGATACAGCACCGGGGGAACGGGTAGGTATTCGCGTTGACTGTGTAATGTTAGGGGTAGAAAATACTGATAAAAAGTAATCATTTAAAGCGGAGGCAACGTGTTTTGCGTCTATTGGTTCCCCGCCTGGGTCTAGAAGATCTATGTTGGTACTTTGATTTTTGTGAGAGAGCATGCGCCAGAATTCAGTGGGATTTGAGCGGAGGATAGATAGTAGGTCACATGAAAAATATTTATCTTTGGCTTTTTGTAGTTCCGTAGGATACTTTTTGGCGCACAGGTGATATTTTTCCCATGTTAAAGGGTTATCGCATTGACTGGCGGTCCTATAAAGACGTTTCTTTTTATTTAAAAGACTTTTCAGTTGTTTGTTGAACCAATGATTTGTGGAATCTGATTTCACGCGAATGGTTGGAATATACTGTTTTTCTAAGTTAAGTATCGTGTTTTCGAATATCTGCCAGTTGGCGTTTACTGAGCGGGTTTGATATGATCCGCGAAAACTGTCAAGAAAAGAACCAAGTTTGTCGTTGATAGCGTCATAATTTCTTAGTTTGTAATTAGTTATAAATTTTTCAGTCGGTGACCTTCTGATCAGAGGTAGAGATATGCAGTTGTGGATAAGGGTATGGTCGCTAAACCCGGGAGTACTATTGTGCGCTTTATGTCATCCGGGCTTGATGTTAGAAGAAGATCTGAAGTATTATCACATCTTGTGGGGCATGTTATAGCTTGGTGTAGGTTAAAACCTAGCGTCAGATCAAGGAATTTCTTTGATTCGTTGGACGGGGATGCACTAGGGACGGAAGGCCAGTTTATTTGAGGGAAATTAAAATCACCGAAAAGAAAAATAGGGGCGTCCGAGAACTTGTCTTCAATCAGGGTGAGTGAATTTGAAAGGAGGATGGAAAAGCCAGGTTCAGAATCAGGCGGCCGGTAACAGATGCCAAAAATCGCCTTTTGGGCAACGTTTGACACTCGCACCCAGGTTAGTTCTAATGTGTCGTCATGAGTGAGAAGAGAAGATGTTAGATTGTTTTTAATAGCTATGAGCACGCCTCCACCCCGGCGATTAGTGCGATCATGGCGATATAAAGTGTAGTCTATGTTAGACGGGAAGATTTCGTTGTCGAGTACGCCTTCGTGTAGCCATGTTTCTGCTAGCACGACAATGTCGGCTTCTACATCTTGGATAAAACTATGTAGTCTGTCTAGTTTAGGCAGTATGCTTCGTATATTAGTGAAGGCAACATTTAGATTTAGCGTTGATGATCGGCTTGGTCGAGGGTTAGAGGTACAGTAGACAGAGGGGTGTCATTCGGTGGTTTTGCTGCTCATACCTAATGACTCACCAGCTATGGCACGCACAGTCTGTTTTTTGCTGATTTCTACAATTTTGTCGGAAGTCTGGTCATACATGTAGCACTTTTTGTCCATGTGAAGTCTGTCGAGACTCAGTTTAAATGCGCATTTTTGGGGGCGGATGAACTGCAACAGCTTCGACCGCGCAATGCGGGTGGCAGCTGCGAAGTCCTCCCTAATGGCCAAGTCTGTGTCTTTAAGCATGCGACCGCAGTTCAGAATGCGTTCCTTCGTTTTGTAGTGGGCTAGTTTTACAATGATGGGTCGAGTTTTGTTTTCTGAAAAGGTCCCGATTCTGTGTGCGTTCCATCGCACCCGGTTCCAGAGTAAGTTTAAGCTTGTCGGCACAAAACGCGGATATCTTTTGCTCCGACTCTTCCCATGTTTCCTTTATGTTGTCTTCTATGCCAAGAAAGAGAACGTTGTTTCGTCGTAGGTGGTTGCTGGCGTCAATAGTTGCGGCTTTGAGCGCAGAAATTTCGTGGCTTATCTGGGATGAATCGTTGTTATCGCTAGGGTTGCTGGTTTGGGGCTTTAGTTTTTCTAGGATTTCGAGCCGGTTGCTAATTGAGGAAATTTGTTTTTCCTGGGTTGCTTGGGCAGTTTTAAGGCCGTCTATCTCTAATCGAATCGTTTCTAGATTGTCCTCGACGCGTTTGATAGAATCCAAGATTGCGGCTATATCACTTCTTTTTGTTGGGCCGGGATTCAGTTCCACGTCGCCAGAAAGCAGCAGTATTAATTGAGAACATAAACCAAAAGCAATCGCGTCAACGCACAAGTCCAATATACTGCGCAATTTAAAGTCGTTGGGGTACGACACAGCAATAAGGAAGCGATTACTGCTTCTACACGATTTCCACCGATGGTTCATGGTTCCACCGATTGAGATGGAAATATTGTAGGCCCATGTGCTCACATTTGGGTGCACGTTAAAGGACACGAAGTTGTCGAAATTTCCGGAGCCCTCCACTATGGCGTCTCTCATAATAATATGATGGTTTCGGGACGTTAAACCCCACATATGAATCAATCAATCAATCAATCAATCGAAAATCATGAAATGTGTGTCATGTAACATCATGACTACATGCCACACTCATACACTCGCGGCCGTTTCGCTAGCTTCGCATATACAAAATTTGGTATTACGGGACGTGAATAGATTACGAAGGTATGTGACTGATGCAAACTTGATAATCATCAGATGCGTGTCATGTGACAACATGAATACATGTCACGCTCATAATGCGCTTGCGGCTGTTTTGCTAGCTTCACATGCACCAAATTTGACATTACGTGACGCGAATGCTAAATGACACTTGAAACAATATAATCATGACATAGAAGTAATGCACGGCATATTTTACCTCCGCCTCGTAACGTGGTGCTGATTTTAAAGTGACATACCAACCATCCTCATTCGTGGTTCGCATATCGTCGATTTCCACTGAACATGGGATGTGTCAGTTTTTTCACCACCACCTGCTAGGGTTCCCACCGCCAGCTTACCACGTTAGTTCTTGTGATATAGTTTGCACAATATTACACGGGTGGCGTGTGCAATCTGTGGTTTGACTCAAGTTTGTATACGTCAATGAAAGACCTGTATCAGCCAAGAAGGACACATTTGGCCCCCTTGTCAACCAGCTTTGCTCTTTAATAAGCTATTAATGACTTGTGTAAATGTCTGCCTTTTAATTCTAACAATTCCGAAGGCTAAAGCAGAAGGTTTTGGTAGCACGTTACTCTGCTGGTACACGTTAGTTCTATCGCAGCTGCGCTTCTTCGGCATGTTTTCGAGGCTTAACTGTTGCTTCAAAAACTCGTACTGTACGGTCACACTCATGCCAAGAACGTTTCTCTTACTTGACGTGTCTTCTTAGAAAAAAACTGTATTCATGATCGAACTTACGCTTCTTAGCGCTTCTCACCTATAGCTTCCCTCTTCGTGATCATCGTCGGCCATAGCGTCCTAAGCCTTCCGCGCCATTCACGCAATTCGTTAGGCCCCGTTTGAGCGTCTTCCGCCACCGTCTCTCTCTCTTTACAGTTGATTGTCTCAGCGAGTTAGCTGTTTGTGCAGGTTGGTGTATAGGTTAGTGACATAGAAAAAAAAAACTTTTTCCGTGTGCAGAAAAGTTGAGCAACATCCTGAAATTGCAGCTGTCGTCACTGCTGCTGCTTTCGTCGCCGCTTGATAAGAACGAAGAAACACTTGCTTTTCTCTGTTCGTGCGGCGCTAATTACATTTTTCATGTGTAGCTCGCTGAGCTAAGATCAAGTTACATTTCGTATCAGTCGACGAGACGCTGCATTTTGTCGAGGTCACTACGCATAGCACCGTTTGAGATTTTCACTTTAATTTAGTTTGCAGAGACATTCATACCTACAGGTTATGCACACTTGATAGAACTATTGCTGTGCGTCTACCCGTTGATGATCTGCCGCCTTTCAGCATGGAAGAATGTGAAAGAGCCTGTGACCGACTGTGCATCATGGTGGCCGGTGAGATGACTTGCCTGGGCACCATGCAACACCTTCGGGACAAGTTTGGCACCGGCTACACTATGCAGCTGGTGGTGGCGCGTAGGGAGCCGATGGGGACCCAAGTAAGCGCGGCAGAGGCAACCACCGCGGAGGTGAAGTCAAACCAAGCACTCGACAAGGACGTGGTCGCGCTCTTCCCGGAAGTGCGTGTCCTCGGCGCACATGATGTAAGATATTGGCTTGCCAATTATACTATATATATAGGACAGAGATAAAGTTTTGAAGGTATACAAAAGGTAACGTTGGTGGCCGCAAGGTTTATCTTGTCGCCATTTCGGCAAGACACGGCGAAAAATGTGTACATGGAAACTACATCCTCCCATACAGGAAAAAAACATGCGGGAGACGCAAGAAACACCAGATAACAAAATGTCGGTGATATCTTTAGTAAAGGTGTACGGCACAACAGATCTTTTTGAATTAATGCACGATTTTCAGCAAGGCGTAATTTCGCAACCAGCACAATAGCTTCCCGCTTTGGAGAACGTAGAGTTATATTGTTACATCCTCTCAAAAAGCCTTTTGAAACGGAGTATAAGGAGACGTTCGCCACTTGGCGTCTACATATGTCGTTTAAATAAACAAACAGAAGGATTAACATAGCCACAAGAGCTCTACGCTCGACATGCGTGGAGCTGTCGGCATATATGACCCTAAAAAATCAAATAATGCAGTCCATACACGAATATTTATTGTAAGCAGTGACTTTATGGACGCAATAAACAGAGAAACGGGTCAAGAAAACTTCGAAAACGCTTGAACTTCGTCCTTAAAAGTAGAACGCAATGGCGTAATCAGGCTCAGTTCACATCACCTTCTCACATGCTAGTCAACCTGAGCTCCTAAGGTTTGCACCTACACCGCGCTGTTAGAAAACTTTGTACGCGCGCAACATTAGCCATTTCAATTATCATAGAACACCTATGGCAAGTAGGCTCGTGAAGTGCTCAACGTGTTATAATTCATCATTGTGCGAGTGAGCCAAATTACCATTATTAGGCGTCCAAGGTAATGCGCGCACCTCGTAGCCGCACGATTTGTTGAGGCTGTAGCTGATAATGACGATAAATTGCGCCGGTGTGCTCTGCAATGGGTAGACTTTAGCAGCAACCGCTCGATGCACAATCTACATGTTTTGACACCTGGTGCGATTTCGCGCTTTTGGTATGCAATATTTCATGCGCTAACACGACTACTTGCGCTGTATCTGCGATTAAAATCACATTAATTCGAATTCGTAAGGGAGCACAGAACTCTTCGAATTAGGTTGAGTTCTAATTAGCGGGTGGACTCTAGAATGAACGGACATCGCGTCATACTGCACGGACAGTGCCCAAAGAAGTGACTTAAGGACTCATTATTGTGAAATGACTTAAATTTCTAGGCTTATAACAGTACAGAATCAACTAGTAAGTCAGTGAGGCTATATACAAGCACCGACATGCATGTGAGCAGTGAGCCTTAATGTCGCAATAGTATAAGTTGGTAATTAGGTTCCAAAATACGTTTATTTGCATGACGAAGTTAACGCATTCAATCGGCAATTTACAATGGCTTGCGTTTTTTTATCCACACGTTTGAATAGTTTCCAGCTTGCACCGGAGCTCCAGTGCAGCGTACGAATTGTTATTCTCTGAGAAATGCTGCTGTTTTTTGTTTTGCATCTCAAGCAAACAATTTGCAGTGCAAAGGAAACACGTGAAAGGAAGTCAACGAGGATGGGTGTACCTTAAAGTTTACAGTATTGCTAATGCGGGTTCACTGTGTTTTTGGCCACAGAACGTGCATGACTACCACGTCAAGGAGAAACTTTCATGGAGCACTGTCTTCGAGAAAGTGGAGCAGCTCGAGGAGTCCCACAAGTTCTCCCACGTATTAATCCAAGACACCAATTTGGAACAGATCTTTATTTCGTTCGCCGAAAAGCGGGCTGAAGCTCACGAAGTTTGATGTCGGATTTTGGGATGTTATCCCCAAGAAGCGTTACGATCAGAAATTAAGTTTCGTTGCATGTACAATAGAATGATCCCTAAATAATGCGTATCACAGAACTGTTATGATCCTTTCATCTGAACTTTTATTCGTGAATTAGAAGTGTTTTCTGCCTGAGAGCCTTTGTTGAATGTTTAGGCCTCGCGTTGAAAGATAACGAGGCAATCACTGCTGCGTGGTGTTGGATATTTATGATTTAGGATTTTGTACACTTGAGCTTGCGCGCTTCAACTTTGTTGTAATGGTTCTGTATTTGGCAAATAAAAAGTAATTAGGCATTGAAAAACACTTTATTGCTCTATGAAGTGAAATAAGACAAAATCCAGTACTCTGTCGTGTTTTTTCACTGAAGACCATAAAAGAGGTGCTTGTGGAACATTCCGCCAAATACCTCTGTCACTACTGAGGGAGCACGTTACCCTTACTCACGATTCCGTTAAAATATTAGCGCAGCAAGTGTTTAATGGCAGCGTAGACATCAGAAGCTTCACAATATTATTTAAAAGGCTCCCGCCAGGAGGTATACGACCAGTGTGAGACGACAAAATCGAGTAATCACGCGACAACAATGTGATGGAGAGTAACGAAGCTGTCAGGTTAATAGACTGTCCTATGCGTCTATCCACCTACACCATGGTGCTCTCGTGGTTGTATCCTCAATTTGGTTGATACCGAAATTAAGGAGGGGTGAAGAATGTAGGAAAGTGGGCTGCAGCTCGACTAACACGAAACCTTGGAGGGCTGAAGGATGAAGTGTAGGCCCATGTTTCCCACAGCAACATCGCTGCTAATGGGGAATGAGAGACAGAACAAGAGATGGAAGGAGGGCCTAACCAAGGTAATTTGCCACACTTTTGAGAGAGATTTCTTGGTGGGACCTCTAGCAGGTTCCAAGCCCGAAGCCAGGCGTAAATGAAAGGGACGCTAACATCATCGGGAAACTGCGTCAGAATGCAGTATGCCGCGAGGTGATGCTTCTTATTTTTCTGTTCTTTTTGTCATTGGCACGGGCAATTATTTCGACATAAGTTGTTTTCGTGTCAGATACCGCAACCTGCTATAAAGTGTGAATTACCAGAGAAAAGAATTACGAGGATTACGTTAACAAACCCATGTTGATAAAATTAAATTCTCGTACGTCATCTGTTGTTGTTGGGCTAACTGTTGGTGGTAGGTCGTGGGATTTAACGCAATTTTGGGGTGCATACTGATTCATGATGGACCGTGACGATAGCACGACACGCTGACAAGCGGGGCCACTTAGGTGCTTCACCCCGAAAACATCATGCATAGGAAAGATCATGAAGCCTTTATGGATGGAAATTCGGGTGCATGGCTGCACTGGCCTTGCCCACGACCCTCTGCAGGACTTCATTCTGGTGTGCGACTTGCACTTCCGTGCTCGAGATGGAGAGTTGTCTCCCACTGCACCTTACTAAGATAGACTTTTGCCAAGAAAATTGGCTAAGCCATTCGGAGTTATACAGTGATGAAACACGAATTTTTGCCCAGAAGTAAAATTCTGCCAAAATCTATGTTTCAATCGTTTTGCATCGAATGGAACGAAAAAACTTAATTTATCGTTTTCCATCGAACACTGAAATATTTACTATACATTCTCGCAGCCCTCACATCCGCGGTGCGCATTTTTAACGTCACATCTTTGGCAACTCTGTTTTGACATCTTTGGCTATGGTTATCGCGATAAGTATGAATAAGGAGGCTAATTTCATTTCTAAACTTCAATATTTTATTAAGGTATGCTTCAAATATTCAATAAAATTGCTTTAACATGTGTTCCTTGTCAAAACATCTTTAAAGCATGCAAACCTCCTGTTTAACTTGTTTGTTCGATTTTCGCCTACAATCTTAAAACGCAAAGTTCCGACCAACAATTGTGTGAATTTTTTTTGATAATCCCTATAAGGAGGACACACAAGATGACGCTGGGTTTCCAGACAGCACATGCACAGACCTTCTATTAGAGCTAGGCATGCACAATACGCTTGATGAACAAATAATGGCACAACCATTACTGCAACTAGAAATACTATTCAGGACACGAACTGGCCGAATCATTGTGGATTAACTCGGGATACAAAAACCGTCGTGAGAGCTCAGAACAGACGAGAGGGAGCAGACACGAACAGGCACACACTACGAGGTGGTTTCAATAAAGAAAAACCCTCAACCTTATAAATCAACACGCTGCGCAGGAGCACCATCACAACTACCAAAAAAAATTGAAAGCAGGCACGAAAGAAATGAAATTTCAGCATGGTAAAGTGCAATGCAAGTCTTGATCACGCACTCGTCACCTGTTTTTTTAATGAAAATTGCTTCTGGGTTTCGCGAGCCATCTTTTTTCTACTTCTTCCTGGCGTTTTCGCAAATCAGAATCGTTGTTCACAATGCGAGCACGCTTTCAAGTGGTCAACCAGGTGACTTTTCTCCTTACTATTCAGATTTCTTTCATGCTCCTTGACTCGTTCATTGAGATAGCGGCCATCTGGTTGATGTAGGCTTTGCCACAGGACAAGGGTATCTCGTACAAGACGCTGTTGGCACACTTCACAAAACGCATATCATGGTTCTGTAGGCAGACATTCTTATGCATCACACAGGTGGTGCGCTGGACCAAAAGACTGAGCTTTTTCGAGGTTAAGAAAACCAACCACACCTTGAACCGACATGCCACTTTTTTCAGGCTGTGTGTGACGTTGTGCATGTATGCGACCACAGCTAGCGTCCGCCATCACACCAGGGTCTTAGTGGAATTTTCAGAGTGACCGTTCATTATCTTCTGAAGAAGCGTCCCGGCAACAGACACTAAGGCCGACCCAGAAAAACCAGCTGAAAAAACGCTTATCCAATCGTAGATCATAACTTTCTTGCACATGGTCAATGCAGGACTTCTCAAGCACAGATTCCAAAGACTGTGCGGCGCTGCCTCTCTTATCATCTTAGAATGAACCAATTTGTATAGAAAGAGCCGTTCATGAGCACGCGGGAAGGCACACCCAGCACCAGTAACGTTCGTTGAACTCGAGGTGGAGGTCTTAAAGCTGAAGCTTACCTTCTTGGGGGCCTTCGAGAACAAAAGGTAGTTTTTCCATTATTTTTTTAAATATTCAAGGGCACACTTGAGTGCAGGCTCTTGTTGGGCACATCAAAAAAAAAAAGATTAGACTCGTCAACCTGACGAAAAACTTCAGGGACCATGTCATTATTAGTACAACTAAAAGGGTAATGTACAGTCCTGTCGAAGGATGATATGGCACAACACAGGTGCAATACAAGAAGCAATGTAGGTAACATTTTTGAAAAGTTAAATCAGGTCATTAAAGTTGATTAAAGTGGATTGAAGGTCAAATTCTAAAAGGTCTAAAAGGTTCTCCACTGAGATCCCTGCAGCATTTTGAAGATCTATGACCACATTTTCATGAATGCACTCTTCAACTACCACAAACAATTCATGATGAGCCACAGCGTAAAAGAGCTGTTCCATGTATATAAAAAACAGCAAAAGCAATGTCTCCGTTGTGTTCAAGGCAACGGAAAATATCAATAGAACATTTTGTAGGGAATGAAATACATATATCAAGAGTATTCAAGCTTTGAGCAAGAACTTTATGACACAATGCTGCCAGATGCCCTTTTCATTCACAATGCTACGAAACAGGGCTCGAGGTTCATGCCTCTTAACTTTAAAGAAAACATTCATTGATACACTTTCGCGGTTGGCTACATATTTCTTATGTAAACGTAAACACTGGGGAAGTTCTGCTGCTTTACTCTTAACTGTGACAATTAATTTTATCACGAAAAGAAGTTCTTATTGATAGCCACGATAGCTTTTTCGTTGTACATGGTTTTGATAATTAATCACAGTCACCTACCTTATCTGCGTGCAAGACACAAAAGTAATTATGCCTGAAAAACCTAACTACACGTTTTAAACGGTCTTTAGCAACTACGGCACGGTCCGTTTAACATTCTTGGTAAGGCAGTGAATTCCCTCCAAAAGACAGCGTTCACGGTTTTCCGGTTTTTCTAAGAAGCCTTCTCTGCAATCCGACATACCAAGGTCGTGAGTTTATGGTGTGGAACATAAGGCTTAAGTTCAAATTTGGGCCCCTTCTCTAAAATATATCTAATATTGGTATGCATGAAAGCTCCTCCAATGACGATTAGGCTGCCCGTGGGGCACTCCAGCTTCTCAGGTTTCGCCACGGCTCCAAGGATCTTCCTGAGGAAGTAGCTCCACGAGAATACTGTCAATTGCACAACTACCTCTCTGCTAGCCATGCAGAGTACTGGGAAAAGTATTCAATTAGGTCAGCCATAAACACACTTGCCGCCAAAATCCAGAACTTACAATTTTCACCAGTCTTTTCACATGACCCCACGAAGGCGCAACAGGACAAGCACTTACTTCAGGAGGGATGACGCTCTACCTAAGGCAGGAACCAAGATACCTTGAACGACAGATCGCTGCAACAATACTTGCCAGGAGCCAGGATGATCTTGTCAGATAGTGCTTGTCAGGGTGATTGCTTTTCGAAATGCTGCCGGGATCCAAATGCAGAACTCTTTAGTGTTTTTAGATTTCTACTTTCAGCCTACTTTAATCGTGTTTTATGATCTGATTTATCTTAAGGAAAGTTATCTGCATTAGTTTTGTATCGAACTTGCGTTGTTCCATATACTTTTATCATCCTCTGATTGGACTGTACATTTCCATTTTTGTTTTACTAGCAATGTCATAGTCCCTTAAGTTTTTAAATGCTAAGCATTTCTTAGCGATCTTCAGTGATTTTGAGCGCATCTATCTATCTAGCTGCCTACGACTTTTAACTCTCCTGGCCGTTTCGATAATGGTATCAATACCAAACTTGGTATGGCATAACATGACTGTATGAAAAACATATTTCACTATTCATAACATGAAAATCATGATATGTATGTTATGAATGTCATGATATACATTTCATGGTCCTGCAGCTCTTGCGGTGGTTTCGTTGACATGACGTGTTGCAAAACTGGTATGGT